TCATATCATTAGCTAATTAGCAGAGACTGAAATACATGTAATGGGTGTGACTGACAAAGGAGACATCCAAAAATGCAGTGTTGGTAGCCCTCCAGGATTGTGGTTGAGAAAGACTGATCTAAATGAACCAAGCACATGACTTAAGTATATATATATATATATATATATATATATATATATATATATATATATATATATATATATATATATATATATATATATATATATATATATATATATATATATATATATATATATATATATATATATATATATATATATATATATATATATATATATATATATATATATATATATATATATATATATATATATATATATATATATATATATATATATATATATATATATATATATATATATATATATATATATATATATATATATATATATATATATATATATATATATATATATATATATATATATATATATACTAAAGTATTTTTTGGGCACAGCATCAAAGTTATTGCATCACAACATGTACTTCTAGAGGTATGATCATGAGGAAACCTGCTTTCCGTCAGTTACTTTCCATCAATTTTCGGTTTGCGACGTCGCCACCGTAAAACAGAAAGAAGAAGAAATCGTCATTCTCGCCATCATATGGATTTACTTTCATCAGCTAGACACTAGCCTCACAGCTTTGTGAATGTCGATGCCGTCACTTATTGAGCTGCGATCGGTAAATATAGCTTGTCTAGACGCTACTGCGCTGCTTCACTAATAAAATAACTTTGCTACTGAAAAGCTATTTTATTTAGAAGGTTGCAATGCTACCATCACGCTACTGCGAAATGTCGTTAAGCTAGTAGCGTCACTGCTTTGAGCGACGCTACTGCCCAAAACTGCAAATAAGACTTTAAAAAAATATTGTAGCAAATACTGTGAAAAATTCCCGAATCTGACTTCATATGAGAACTATTTGATAAAGAAAATCTTTCAAATAGTGCCATCTTGTGAATAATGTGTAGGTTAGTGTATACTCCATCAGCTGTTTTCATTTCTGTCAGTTTTGTGTTTTGTCTGTTTGTCTCCATCTAGTGTCTGAATAATGCGCAGGTTAGTGTATACTCCATCAGCTGTTTTAGTTACTGTCAGCTTTGAGTTTTTGTCTGTTTGTCTCCATCTTGTGTCTGAATAATGCGCAGGTTAGTGTATACTCCATCAGCTGTTTTAGTTTCTGTTGAGTTTTTGTCTGTTTGTCTCCATCTAGTGTCTGAATAATGCGCAGGTTAGTGTATACTCCATCAGCTGTTTTAGTTACTGTCAGCTTTGAGTTTTTGTCTGTTTGTCTCCATCTTGTGTCTGAATAATGCGCAGGTTAGTGTATACTCCATCAGCTGTTTTAGTTTCAGCTTTGTGTTCAATTAAAGAGTTAATACATTATTACGGCTCAGAACAATGTTTAGTGTCTATTTTTTTTCATCAGTCTAGTAGCTGTGTAATAAACAAGATAAAGGGATTGTTTCGCACAATAAACCTCTCAGGCTTTATTCTGTGATAACAACCTCCTGTATGTACTTTATCCCTGTAACGTATTGAATATCAATACATAAGAAATATTTCAAGAAACTCACAGTTCTCTTGCTTAGGCTGATTTCTCCTGGTTTCCTCCTGGTTTTTGGCAGACGTGCGCTGCGTGAATGTTTTGTGAACTGAAGACACAGGATATCCTTCGCTCGGACAGCAGGAAGGGACACTGATAATATTGAAAAATGAATCCTTGCTTTGATAAACACTCTCTTTGGGGGAACAATGAAGATGTGAATAATGCGGCAAAAAATAGATTTCAGGATGACGCCAAAAAGTAGACTTTTTCCTTGATTTGAGTGTGAAACACTGGCAGATCATGTATGAAAATAGTTTCATATCTATAGCAGACTCTGGTCAGAATTACGTGACTTATTCTAGATATACAGGTGCATTTTTCTCCTGGAATGGTATATAACTAATGTATTATTTTTAGTTAACTACGCACGCACGCACGCACACACATACACACACACACACACACACACACATAATATAATAATAATGAAAATATAGATTTTTTAAATAGCTTAAAGATACTAAAGTAATTCTATATTAAACTAAAAAATCCATACGCATTGCTTTAATGATGTCTTTATAAACTGCTGTGTGTATTCATGCATTAATTGTGTGTATGTGTGTGCGCAGGTGAACGGTGTTTCGGTGGAGGGGAAGCAGCATGCGCAGGTGGTGTCAGCGATTAAAGCCGGGGGTGAGGAAACATCACTCCTGGTTGTAGATCCAGACACAGACGCTTTCTTCAAGAAGTGTCGAGTGACGCCGACCGCTGAACACCTTACAGGTACACACACACACACAAAACACAACATCAGCACACACACACACATCGGCCTGTAGGGGGCGTCCCACACAGATGCTGTGTCCCAATTCATATACTATTTTTATATGATATTTTTAGGTTAAAATGACGTTATTCAAGAGGTCTTCATAATGTCTCAGTCTCATTTTATATTAATGTTCCTTAAAATATTAATGAATACGTAATTAGATCATTACATTAACATTATATTAATGTTCTCAGAGCGTTATTTAATACATCATTAGAACATTACACTGACGTTATATTAATATTCTCAGAGCGTTATTAAATACGTTTTTCGAACATTCCACTAACGTTATAATAATGTTCTCAGAGCGTTATTTAATACATTATTAGAACATTTCATTGACGTTATATTAATGTTCTCAGAGCGTTATCTAATACGTTATTAGAACATTCCACTGACGTTATAATTATGTTCTCAGAGCGTTATCTAATACGTTATTAGAACATTCCACTGATGTTATATTTATCTTCTCAGAGCGTTATTTAATACGTTTTTCGAACATTACAGTGAAGTTATATTAATGTTCACAGAGCGTTATTTAATACGTTATAAGAGCATTCCACTGATGTTATATTAATGTTTTCAGAGCGTTATTTAATACGTTTTTCGAACATTATATTAATATTCTCAGAGTGTTATTTAATACATTATTAGAACATTCCACTGATGTTATATTAATGTTATCAGAGCGTTATTTAATACGTTTTTCGTACATTCCACTGAAGTTATTTTAATGTTCTCAGAGCGTTATTTAATACGTTTTTCGTACATTCCACTGAAGTTATTTTAATGTTCTCAGAGCGTTATTTAATACGTTTTTAGAACATTCCACTGATGTTATATTTATGTTCTCAGAGCGTTATTTAATACGTTTTTCGAACATTATATTATTATTCTCAGAGCGTTATTTAATACATTATTAGAACATTCCACTGACGTTATATTAATGTTCTCAGAGGTTTATTTAATACGTTTTTCGAACATTACAGTGAAGTTATATTAATGTTCTCAGAGCGTCATTTAACACATTATTAGAACATTCCACTGACGTTATTTTAATGTTCTCAGAGCGTTATTTAGTACGGTATTAGAATATTATAAATGCATTATATTTATTAAGTGTGAGAGAGAAAGAGATAAAGGGTCTTTACGACTGATTCTTCAGACTGCCTATAGGGGGCGTCCCACACTAATTCACACACTGTGCCCTTTTATACAATCAGTGCAATGTGGTGTGTGTATAATAGTGCATATTTTCAAGTGCATAGTATAAGTAGGTGAATTGGGATGCAGAAATTGTCTGACACATGTTGATCTGGCTTCATGCCTGACTGCTTTCACTCAGGTCCTCTCGCTGAGCTGGTTTTGACTTTCCTGTTCAGCAATTTAGCTTTCTGTCTCATTTGTGCCAACACTGCCAAACGCAGCCATGGAGACCAAGAGTGTGTGTGTGTGTGTGTGTGTGTGTGTTTATGTTAGACACAACAAGATTAGTCATGAGTGAGTAAGGCAGTGTGTTTACTGGTTGTATTTACAGAGCAGGCGTTTGGCGTCAGCACTAGTGGAAAGTTCCCCGTAGCTGATATCACACTCGATCAGGTTTTCTCCTCTGCTGGAGGGGAAACGGCAGGAATGAGAAGCTGAATGCGTTCAGACGTCTCAGGTGTTGCTGTTCTCAGAGCGAGTCAGAAATTCTGCCGTTATCTGCGTTTGCAGCTGAATGAGTCTTTTCAGTGCTCAGACTGTGGGATTATCTGTCACGCCCTTCATTATCAGCCACAGGAGACTGGGAACACTGACCTGGGACCTGTGCTTTTATTTCATTACTGTACTCCAGTGCATTTTCAGGTATCTGTACTTTCTCTGAGTGTTTATATTTTAGTAAACATTGATTTCAGTAGGCTGTTACTACAGTTAACAACTTGCAGAACGAGACACCGGACAACGATTCACTGATTCAAATGATTTAGTCGGAGGAAATCTCCAGAAAACAATTCACTGATTCAAATCATCCATTTAGAACAAGTCTTTAGTTATTGATTTATTGATTCAAATGATCCAGTCAAAGCGAGTCTCCAGTTAACGATTTACTGATTCAAATCTTACAGTCCAATTGGGTTTCCAGTTAACGATTCAATGATTCAAAGGATCCAGTCAGAGTGAGTCTCCAATTAATGATTCACTAATTCAAATGATTCAGTCAGAGTGGGTGTCCAGAAAACGATTGACTGATTCAAATCATTCGTTTAGAACTAGTCTTTAGTTAAGGATTCACTGATTTAAATGATCTAGTCACAGCGATTCTCCAGTTAATGATTCACTGATTCAAATAATTCACTTAAAGTGAGTCTCCAGTTAATGATTCACTGATTCAAACGATTCAGTCAGAATGAGTCTCCAGAAAATTATTGACTGATTCAAATTATCCATTTAGAACTAGTCTTTAGTTAACTATTCACTGAATCAAATGATCCAGTCAGGGTGTCTCCACTTAACGATTTACTGATTCAAATCATTCACTCAAACTGAGTCTCTTGTTAACAGTGGATCTATTCAAATGATCCAGTTAGAGTGAGCCTCCAGTTAACTATTCACTGATTCAAATGATCCGATCAGAGAGAGTCTCCAGTCAACAACTCAATGATTCAAATAATTCAGTTTAAGTGAGTCTCCAGTTAACGATTCACTGTTTCAAAAAATCTAATCAGAGCGATTCTCCTGTTAACAATTCACTGAGTCAAATTATTCACTCAAAGTTAGTCTCCAGTTAATGATTTATTGATTCAAATAATCTGATCAGAGCGAGTCTCCAGTTAACAATTCACTGATTCAAATGATCCAGTCAGAGCGAGTCTCTAGTTAATGATTCACTGATTCAAATAATCTAATCAGAGCGATTCTCCAGTTAACAATTCACTGAGTCAAATTATTCACTCAAAGTTAGTCTCCAGTTAATGATTCATTGATTCAAATAATCTGATCAGAGTGAGTCTCCAGTTAACAAATCACTGATTCAAATCATCCATTCAGAGCGAGTCTCTAGTTTATGATTCACTGATTCAAATTATCTAGTCAGAGCAAGTCTCTAGTTAATGATTCACTTATACAAATCATTCAGTAAAAGCGAGTCTCCAGTTAACGATTCACTGATTCAAATAATCTGATCAGAGCAGTTCTCCAGTTAACGATTCACTGATTCAAATAATCTGATCAGAGCAATTCTCCAGTTAACGATTCACTGATTCAAATCATTCAGTCAAAGTGAGTCTCCAGTTATCAATACACTTATTGAATGATCCAGTCAGAGTGAGTCTCCAGTTTATGATTCACTGATTCAAAGGATCCAGTCAGAGTGAGTCTCCATTGAACAACTTCAACGTAGCTTATCTTTATATTACATTATGCCAGTATACAATAGCATGATTTTGTGTACCCCCCCCCCACACCGCCCGTATATTAGCTTCAAACTAATGATCCCTCATCACGGTGATGATTGTGCTCTCAATAATAAATGAAGCACATTCCTGCGGTACAGTGTGTGTAACAGAGACTCGACATCTGCTGTCCGCCGTCTGCTGTTCTAGTCTTCATGGCTCAGCGTTGAAGAAAGTGTGTTTCCTGAAGGATGCCAGAGTATGTGTGTGTGTGTGTGTGTGTGTGTGTGTGTGTGTGTGTGACTCACCTGAGCTCTTCTTCTGTGTGCCTGCAGGACCACTGCCTGAACCGCTGCTCAACGGGGACATGGACGACAAGGTGAGAGAACGTCAGACAATGTTTTTCATTTGAGGTGATCAGTGTTGGGTTAGTTACTTCAAAATAAGGTCATTAATTAGTAATTATAGGGCCAGATAGAATCTGCAGACGTTATTTTATGCGGAATGATTTTGGGAGTATCATAATTATTTACAATGGTATGACCCATTATAGGGGTGTTCACATGTATTTTTGTATTATCTGTTGTTTTTACAATAGATATTATTTAATTTACTATTTAATATATGTGAACTATTTAAAGAGCAGAACCCCTCCCAGGTCGTATTTTAGCATTCTTCACCAGGGTTCAAGCGTTATTTAGAGGGTCAAACCCAAGTGTGCCGCAAGCCTGCGTTTGAGTGAAGGTCTCGGCCGTTAGATCGCCCCCTGGGGGCTGGCTGCAGTACAAGTCATAAAGCCCGCCTCCTCCGTGTTTATGAAGGAGACTTGAGCCCAAATAAAAAAAATTAATTACACTTGCAATAAAATGTCCCGAAAGATGGTTCTGGTGGATTAAGGCACTGGTTATTGTGCTGAAATAGGTGCAGATCTTCATTTTTGTAAACAGTTTGTTTTTAGCAGTAATTTAATGCTGGGCGTGTCATCGTGATTGACAGCTGTGATTGACAGCTTCTCAAAGCAGCGCGTCTGAGCTTCGGCAGGAGACTGAAATGTTATTATTCGATTTCTGTGTTATTTTACCATGACAAAATGAGTTCAGCAGTAAACTATAGTTTCTGACATACATGATCTGGTGGAACACTGTTTATTCGCTAAGGTCAGGGCTTTTTTCGGGCTTTATTATTTTGCTGATACACGCCTAGCCACCCAGATAGCAAAATACACTAGGGCCAGTTCCGGCTAGATTCTCGCCTGCCGGAGACTTACCCCTCAGAGCTCAGACTGACTACCTCTGCTGGACCTACTGTTATGCATTTCGGCCCGGAGCTGGCGGGATTGAATATATAAAACCCTCATATTTATTAACGTTATTACATCCATTTGTGTTGATATGACAGCAAACGCATGCTGAGCAGTTCGGGGGGCGTGGTTGATTTTACATAAAGCGTTTGGTTGGAAGCTCGACTCTGCTCATTTTCGCGGCTCCTCCTCTGGCTCCATCAGACAATCCTTCTGCGCATGTCAAGGCTCCAATTTCAGCAGTCTTTTGCGACAGTTTGTGCCCGTCAAGCAGGCGTTTTGCCCTCAAGCCGTTCAATGGGAAAAGGGGCTGTCGCGTCGTCCATATTTTTTACAGTCATTGGTCAAACGTCAGTGAAGTGAAGATATCAGGATCTCCTGCTGTTTGTTGCTTTGCGGCCTCCATAATTCACCTTCTGGAGTCTGGAGAGCTTCACTGATAAAGACAGTGATAGTAACCACATTTTACACTGATATTGTAAGCTAATATATGCATTTTATTATATTAATAATCACTGAATGCCTGAAATATCATTACAACATCAAAAACAAAACATGGTGGATTGGTTCATGTCTATTTGACATCTACTCATTATTTCACAAAGTCTGTTTCCTTCAGCTTAGTGCCTTATTTATTAGAGGTCTACACAGTGGAATGAACCGCCAACTATTCCAGCATATGTTTTACACAGCGGATGCCCTTCCAGCTGCAACCTGTCACTGGGAAACACCCATGCACTCTCATTCACACTCATACACTATGGACAATTTAGCCCAATTCCCCTATACCGCATGTGTTTGGACTTGTGGGGGAAACCGGAGCCCCCGGAGGAAACCCACGCCAACACGGGGAGAACATGCAAACTCCACACAGAAATGTTAACTGACCCAGCCGAGGCTCGAAGCAGCGACCTTCTTGCTGTGAGGCAACAGTGCCTGACCCTAGTTTATGCAGAAAGAAAGAAAGTCAAACCGGTTTTATACAACCTGAAACGACGACTAAATGATGACGCCTTTGAGTTTGAAACACAGAGACAAACGAGCTCAAATTATAATAATTATAAAACAATATATGAAATAATGAAGGATCATTGTGTCATTATTATCAACAAAGAGGCAGCTAATTTGCATAAAAATGAGTCACAGCACATGAACCGCTCTGAACCTCTTCATAACTGCAGTAATTCAGTCAAAATGTGAATTCCTGTATTAGTCGGTGGACAATTTGATTTACTGTGATTATTATTATTGACTGCAGTCATTTAGTGAGCAATGGAGTTATTTTAGTATTAATGTTTTACGCTGCAGCTAGATTATTATTTTCAGGTATGAAATATCAGGTAGAATAAGCGAAATACATTCATTCATTCATTTTCTTGTCGGCTTAGTCCCTTTATTAATCCGGGGTCGCCACAGCGGAATGAACCGGCAACTTATCTAGAACGTTTTTACACAGCGGATGCCCTTCCAGCCGCAACCCATCTCTGGGAAACATCCACACACACATTCACACACACTACGAACAATTTAGCCTACCCAATTCACCTGTACCGCATGTCTTTTACTGTGGGAAAACCGGAGCACCCGGAGGAAACCCACACGAACGCAGAGAGAACATGCAAACTCCATACAGAAACGCCAACTGAGCCGAGGCTCGAACCAGCAATCTTCTTGCTGTGAGGCGACAGCACTACCTACTGCGCCACTGCCTCGCCCATAAGCAAAATATTTTGAGGTAAATTGAGGCTCAGGGCTTTGACTCTGCTAAATTGATTATTTAAAAAATATTTAAAGTGCCGTTTAATTTTTATTAATTTATTTATATCGTTTTATATATATTTATTTTATCACAATATTTCCTTTTTAATTTTTCGTCTGATTTCTTTTAGTTTGGCTGAAATATAAAAAAATATACATACCTGGAGTCTCCAGTACTTCAGACCCATCTCCCGCCATCCTCCCATTTTGTTATTTCTCCCGGTTAACCATAAGCACATTTAACTGAAATCCAGTACCACTGGAGTGTCTTTCACAGTGGCGTAGCGCAAAATGCGGGGTGGGCCCCCTGCAGGGATCACTGACGGGGCCCCCTGTTGGGGAGGTGGGGTCGGTGGACCGAGGAAGCGATCACAAATTGAGGAGCGCTCGGGGGAGGGGGCGGGGTGGAGTGACAACGCGGGGTAGCGTTCACAAACTGAGGAGAGATCACAAACTAAGGAGTGGGAAAGAGGGGCGAGGTGGAGCGACGACCCGGGGTAGCGTTCACAAACTGAGGAGCGATCACAAACAAGCGGCGAGAGCGTCAAAGTAACCGGAAGTCATTCATTTTCAATGAGAACCGGCGGCGAGGAGCAGCGCAGCGCATCTTCTCCGGTGTGGGCGTCGAGGAGAGTTGAAATCAAGTCAACTTTATGGTATGAGCTATGACGCGGTTCGGCGGCAACCAATCAGTGTGAAGTAGTCCACCCCTAATCACGGGGTCACCCCTAATTAAGGGGGCTAATAATATTGACCTTAAAATGATTTTATAAACATTAAAACTTATTTTATTTTAGCTGATTTAAAACGTATAACATTTTCAAAAGAAGAAAAAATATTATAGGAAATACTGTGAAAAATTACTTGCTCTCGCACTATTAAACATCATTTGGGAAAAATTTGAAAAATAAATTCGCAGGAGGGTGAATAATTTTAACTTGTGTATATATATATATATTTATATTGAAAGGTAAGTAGAAACTATTTACTTGAGTCATTTTTTCATCAGGTACTTTTTTCCTCTTACTCGAGTAACTTTTTAGATGGCTCCTTTTACTTTTATTTCACTAAAGACTTCCGCAAGTGCTTGTACTTTTACTTGAGTATAGATTTAGGATACTCTACTTACCTCTGGGTAGCACTGGAACATGCAAACTCCACACAGAAATGCCAACTGGCCCAGCCAGGACTCAAACCAGTCACCTTCTTGCTGTGAGGTGACAGTGCTAACCACTGAGCCACCGTGACGCCCCAAAATAATCTTATTTCGAAGCGAAAACACAATTATTTCGCTTGTTTTGGGGGGGAAAGCACCTAATTTGACTCATTATGTATGAAAACAATACAATATTGATATATTTCTTGATATTTGGACTAGAAACAAGACGTAAACCAAGTAAAGCTCAGTGTGACAGGCTCAGTTCCTCAGTTTGACACAATAACAGTAATGCATGACACCCTGCCACATGAACACACACACACACACACACACACACACACACACACACACACACACACACACACACACACACACACACACACACACACACACACACACACACACACACACACACACACACACACACACACACACACACACACACACACACACACACACACACACACACACACACACACACACACATTGTTTTAAAGGAAATAAGGCAAGTCCATATTTACTCCCGGCTTTCCAAACTGTCCATTTTAGTGTTGACGAGTGGACATGCGCTGTCGGTTTGCTTCACGTCGCCCACGTCTTGCTGCTATTGTTAAGTTTAGAGTCTGCGAGTCTCCAGAAGTGCTTTGCAAAGGATTGTGGGAAAGTTTCCTAATGGTTGAAGAGCTGATGTGCTGTCAGACGCTGCCTCCGTTTGCAGCTAATGATGCTAACACACACACAGTGTTCCTCATAGACTCAAGGCTGACCCCTAGTGCCCTTATTAGTGCACTGAACATTACTGGTAGTGTTTACATCAAGATTGCCAGAGTTTTTGGTAACACTTTAGGTCACAATTCATGCTATTTACTACTGGCTTATTACATTGTTTAGGATTAAGGTATGAACTGTTTATTAGCAGTTATAAAGTATGATCTTATTTGACTCTCTAATCATACCCAATACCTAAACCCAACTATTAATAAGCAGCTAATTAGTAGTTTATTGCGCTAAAAGTCTTAGTTAATGGAGGTTTTGGTCAACTTTTATTTAGTCATAATTCATCCCTGCTGAAAAATCCAGCATAAACCAGTCTAGGCTGGTTTTAGCTGGTTGACAAGGCTAGTTTTAGAGGGGTTTTGGCCACTTCCAGGCTGGTTTTCAGCCATTTCCAGCCTGGTCTTAGCTGGTTAGGCTGGGAGATGACCAGCTAAAACCAGCTTGATCAGCCTAGCCAGGCTGGGAGC